AGGTTGGTATGCATGTTTTTTGTTGGTTTTTTTTTTGGGGGGGGTGTGCACACACGCGTGAGCGTGAGCACTGAGGGTTAAATAGTAAGTATAGATTTGTTTCTATATACACACACACACCAAAATAAACACCCCTCCAACCTGTGTTATACAGATGGTATAACCTTACTTGCTGAAAGTGAAGAGGACTTGAAATACTTGCTTCAGAAGAGCAAAGATAATAACCTTCAATATGGATTACATCTCTACACCAAAGAAACAAAAATCTCCACTACTAGACAAATAAGTAACATCATGATAGAAGGAGAAAAGATTATGCTTTCATTTTACTTGGATGCACAATCAGCACTCACAGGAACAGCTATTAAGAAATCAACAGGTGTTGCACTGAGAAAAATCTTTTGTCAAGGACTTCATCAAAGTGCTAGTAAGCAAGCATGTCCTTTTAAAGACTAAGGTGTGCCTGACCCAAGTCATGGTATTTTCAATTGCTTCCTATCCATCTGAAAGTTGAACAATGAATAAGGATGGCACAAGAATCAATGCTGGAGAAGAGTATGGAATATCCAATGGACCAACAAAAAAAACAAGTCTGTCTTCAAGAAAGTGAAACTGATGGTCCTCCGCAGAGGCAAAGATGGTGGCATTTTGTCTATCATTCTGGGCCTGTTGTCAGAAGGGTCCAGTCCTTGGATAAAGACATCAGACTTGAAAAGATCAGAGAAAGAGAGGAAGACCCTCAAGGAGATGGACAAAGTGGCCGTAACAATGGCTGGGAGCATGTCAGAAATCATGAGGATGGTACAGGAGAGGGCAAGGGTCACATCTGTTGTTCACAGGGCTGCTATGAATTGGTCAACTTGACAGCACCTAACAACAGCAGCAAAGCTCAATAAAATGTTCCAAAAAAAAAAGTATGATAGTAACATTCATTCAAAATAGTTTGCTACCTTTTTTTTTTCGTAATCTAGATAATCACTACAGAATAACCTTTATTTTGGTATTTTAATGTTATTAAATACTATGAAATAATAAATAAATAATAAAAATAAACTCACTTAAAAGGAAAAGCAGCATTTAAACTAGGGGAAAGGACAGAAGTGCCCATTCCCTGGCTGTACCTCAAATTATCTGAGCAGAAGTGTAGAGCAGATAATTCCTATCAATACTTCCAAACCTGAGGGATGTTCTTATTTATCTTCTCCCTCTCTGGCTGCTGGAGAGAAATGGGATCATAAAATATGACCTCAGAAACTACATCTCTCTGACAGAATTAAAGCCTTCAGTGTTTCACAAAATATTATTACAGTAATCCAAAGTTTCATGGTGTATCACCACAGGAATTGTGTACTTGTCACCACCACCATGTATGTGGAACTCTCTGGCATACAACTCTTAAAATTTCAGGAGAGAGAACAGTCAGAGGTGACCTTCCTCCTTCACTGTCATGCCAAGGAGGGACTGAAACTCCTCCAACTACCAGCACTCCTATGCCCTCAGGCTAGACGAGTGACAAACCAGATACCCAGTTCTCAGAATTAGCCCATTGAGAAAACAAACTCCTCTCCAAATACAGTGGGAGGAAAGAAAGCCCACAAGACCAATCAGAGCCAACAAAATGTCTGGAAAGAACCACCCAAGCATGTGCAAGTTAACAACAACTTGTTGTTATGTGCCATCGAGTCGCTTGCGACTCATAGTGACCCTATGTACAGAGCTCTAAACACCGTTCTATCCTGTGCCAACCTAGCCATCTCAAACTCACTCATTCCCACCACTCCGCTCACAGAATCGATCCGTCTCATCAAAGGACTGACACAGAAATATGCAAAGATAGTCTACAGGAGATGAAAAAGTAGAAAAAGAAAAACAACACTCAAGAAACAAAGGGGAGAAGAAGGAAACATGGCAGGCCTAACATTTACAGTGAATTTGTACTTCTGTACCACAGGACCTCCACATTCTCCCTATCACCGTGGGCGCTGTTCAAGAGGTATTCCGTCAAGGAGCAGATACGCTCTATGAGCACATCAATGAAGGGAAGCTGTGGAAAGATATTAAGTACAAGAAACCCCCATCCAGGTGAAAAGGACCAGGTCTACCCCCTGGCTCTTTGCCCCAAGTTAAGGCTTCAGCTTGATGATGATTCTTCCATTATTCTTCTTGGATCACCTTTACCTACCAGCAAGAAATGGTTTCCCTAACTGACTCTAACTTCTGCTCGTTTTGACACATGTCTAGTCAGAATCATCAGCAAATAAATGTAAACAGTCCTTAGGGGAGGAGGGGAAGAAACAAAAGGGAATTATCAATTTTTAACAACCTAGAAGAATATGAAATTCAATAAAAAAAGAGTTCAGAGACAAAAATGATGTGAAGGGGACTGCAGCAAAAGAAACCATGTATGGAAAACAAAGCAACATCATTATAAACCTAATAAATAAATTTAAGACATTAGTAATCAGTACAAAAAATTCCTAACATAGATGGTTCAAGATAATTAAAGGTAGCCAAGAAAACAAATAGATTCATCCTAGAGAGGGTTAAACCAGGCTGCTCCTTGGAGGCAAGGATTCTGGGGCTTCGCCTGACATACTTTGGACATGTTGCCAGGAGGCAACTTTACTGTCTCAGACACACCTACCCTCATTACCCAGTCATCATACTAATCCATCTCATCAATGGTCTCCCTCTTTCTCTGTCGATTTACCCTTCCAAGCATCATGTCCCTTTCCAAGGACCGATCCCTTTTTGCAATATGTCCAAAGTATGTCAGACAAAGCTTCATAATCCTTGCCTCCAAGGAGCAGGCTGGCTTCATCCTCTCTAGAACAAACCTGTTTGTTCTCCTGGTAGTCCATAGTATATTCAACACTCTTCTCCAGCACCACAGTTCAAAGGCATTCTCTATCATCCCTAGGCTCTACAGTACACAACAATTACGGTATTCTGGGAGCTCTGGTGGCCTAGTGGTAAGAAGCTACAGTACACTCCCAAGGGCACGCAGATGGAAGCCACCAGCTGCTCCGCCAGAAAAGCATTGGCAAACTCCTCCCATGTGATTAACTGCTTCTGAAAACCAGTCATCTATAGGTCGGTTCCATTATCCTGTTCAATCTATCTGAACTCAGTGTGTGGCATCAGGATCAGAGGAAGATTCATCAACAACCTGTGTTATGGAGATGACACAACCTTACTTGTGGAAACTGAAGAAGACTCAGGTACATGCTACAGAAGATCAAAGACTAGAGCCTTCAATATAGATTGCATCTCAATGTGAAGAAAATTCTGCACCACTGGACTGTGGGGCAACATCATGAACAGATGGATTGGAATTGTTAACTTTATTTCATCTAACTTGGATCCACAATCAGCATTCTTGGTCCCAACAGTCAGAAGATTATGAGATGTATTTCTTTGGGAAAGTAAGCTATCAGGGACTTCTCCAGATAACTGGAGTAGTAATGTCAGTTTCAAGATTAAGGTATGCCTGATTCAGGCCATGATCTTTGCAATCACTATGTATCTGAGTGCTGGGCAATGAATAAGGATGACAAAAGAAAAATTGATGTCTTTGAGTTGTGGTTTTGGAGAACAGTGCTGACTATCCCATCACTGCCAAAAGAACAGATGTCTTGGGAAAAGTACAGCCAGAGTTCTACTTAGTGGCAAAAATATTTCATGAAACTTCATTCCACATACTTTTGGGCATGTTGTTAGGAGGCACTATTCCTTGGAAAGGGGCATGAATCTTGATTGAGAGTCAATGTAAAAGATATCTGATGAGATGGATTGACACAGGGACTGCACCAATAAGCCCAAAGTGTGTCAGAGATTATAAGGATGGCACAGGGTAAGATAGAGTTCATACCTGTTGTTTATAGGGGTTGACGACGGCACCCAACAAATTATAATAAAGTCACTACTGCTCCCTAAGCTTGTCATCTAGCCTTTCCAGTTGCTCTTGTCAATCTTATCTCAATTATGTAATTTAAAAGATAAAGCTCAAAAGAATTATATACCATATGACTATTTTTTGATTCAAAGATTTCTGGGGATGATTTGTTTAAAGTTTACAGATTATTTCAGCATAGTTTCAGTTCACCCACACACTCAAAATAGATCCAGAAAAATTTTAATTGTGGCAATCTGTAATTCTATACTTCTTTCTGATCAGAAAATCTTTGATCAAAACATTCAGTACTAGAAACTTAAAAACTTTTAATTCAATAGCATGCAAGTTTCATTTGCTCCCTCACTTACTGCTTTTCATCTGACTTAATAATATGGTAGAAATTAACCGTCAGTTACAACTTCAAAGTATAAAGAGGAAATACTGTTTTGTTTTCCATTAAACTGTTAAAACTGTTAACAGTGTAAACCCCTAGCCTGTGTCTGAGTACTCACTTTTCTAGTTATAAAAGAGGTATCTGTAATCCAAACTTCAAATAATTAACGCTGCTCAAATTCTGGGGTTTTGACAAAAGAAAAATATAACCTAAAAGTTATTATCAGTCATTTATAGAACCAAGCCCACTGTAGACTGTCATTTCTGACTTGTAAGAGTTTTCCAAGGATCTAAATCTTTATGGACCAAGAGCTCTGCCCATCTGTTTCCCAATGAGCAGCTGGTGGACGTGAACCACTGACCTTTTGGTTAGCAGCCTGGCATGTAACATACTACGAAACCAGAGTTCCTTCCTATTGATACTACTGCCATTAATCCTGAAAATAAAACACTGGCTAGTTCAACAAAAAAACTGACTCAACTAGCTGACGAGGGCAAGGAGACTAGGAAATCAAGTATAAACTGGAAACCTCAGGAATCGCAGAATGACCCCAGAAATACAACGGGGGTCAAAGGAAACGCCCCCGGGGACTCCCCCAGGCCGCGCATCCCGAGAGTATGAGGGAAAAGAGGCTGTGGTAGGAACAGCAAGTCTGATGGACCTCCCCGAGATGACAGGGCCCCTTCGTGGCCCGGGATGACCCTCGGCCACGCTCTTGAACCCTCTCCGGCCCGCGGTCCCTCGGCTGCTCTCACCGGTACAAAATTACGTCATACAGCGTCCGGCCCTGGACGTTGAGAAAGTGGGCGTAGCCCACACGCGCCGAAGGCTGGGTCGTTCCGTCCCCGGGACCCGGAAGGGGCAGCTCATTGGTTAGTAGGCCCGAGAGGAAGGGCACCGAGTCCGGGCCGCGCACGCGCAGTAGGGCGCGGTCGCTAAGAGGGAAGCAAGTCCAGGCTGAGGCGATGGCGTTGTCACTGCTGGGACGGGCTGCGCTGTGCGTGAGGCGGCGCCTCGGGACAGCGCATAGTCGCAAGCCCCAGACGGAGCCGCCGCGGACCGGGGCTGTCCCGCGGAGGAGCACTGCGGCCGCCATCTTAGGCTGTAGTGAAGACCGGCAGGAAGGTGCGCCACTAAAATTGTAGCCCTGCAAGCTTCACCACAGCGGCCCCTGGCGGCGACCGCCGGACGGGGCCGGAGTCTCAGCCCTTCGGTCACGCGGGGAAGAGGTGGGTGGGGCCTAGAACTGTCAGTCCTTCCTCAGGGGAACACAGGCTGACTGTCCTCCCTACCCCAAGCCAGGGATCTCAAGCCTTTTCTTGAGGTTTTAAGTCTCCATATTGTGGGGCGATTCCTATGTAGAGTCGTTGGCGACTCGATGGCACATAAAAACAACAATATTCTGGAGCGAGTTCTGGAACCAACTAGAGCCGTCACTTTCTTGTCTCTGTGGATGGAGTCCTTGGGTAACACAAATGGTGAAGGGCTGAACTACTAGATAAAAGATTAATAGTTTGACGCACTCACAGGAGCTTACCTGCCAAGGCAGAACTGGTGATCTGCTTACAAAATGCTTGGAAAACTCTGTGCAGCGGTTCTAACTCGGAACAACTGAGGTTGCTCTAAGTTGGATTCCACTTAACAACAATAACAACTCTGAAGCCTTCCACTTCGCACAGTTTTTGAGCCCTGACTTCTATCAACTGGGGTTCCCAATGTTTTGTTTTCTGTGTAAAAAAAAAAAAAAATCAACATTGAGAGAATATTTGTCATGTCTCCAGTTCCTCTCTTTCTCTACTGCCTCCTTCAATCTTAGTCCTAGATGCCACCTCAACAAGGCTGGCTGAGGTTGCCAATTTATTGAATGCCCCCCCCCAGTATTTTCTTGGAAACACTCTAATTTGATAGAAACTTTGAAAGAAGAATAAGAGTAATGACTATCTTCCTTCCCCTAGATACACCAGTTGTTAATAACTTGTCTTATTTGCTTTATCTGTCGAGTTTTTGGCTGCAAGTCAGCTGCAAATGTCAAGACACTGGGCCCTAAATCCTAAAGCAAGCAGCTTCCAAGAATAAGGACATGCCTCCTAGTTTAAGACATCCAGCCTAAGGCAAAAATTTTCCAATGAAATCCTGTGTTGTCATTTTTTCCATCTGTTCTCCAATCCAGGACCACATCTTGCATTTAGTGATGGTGGTGTTAAATGCCGTTGAGTCACCTATGAGTCACAACAATCCTATGAACAAACAGATCTGAACCTAGTCCTGTCCTGCACCACCCTTACATCTCCTATATGCTCAATGCTATTTTTAGAGTCATTTGTCAATCCATCTTGTTGGAGGTGTCTTCTCTTTTTCTGATGCTCTACATTTTCCAGCATGATGTCCTTTAATAGTCATGTCCTTTCCGTTTCCCTTACTCGTAGGGCAGCAGCCACCTATTCGGTTTTTGGTGTTGGGGATGCTTACTGTTGTTGTTACGTGACCTGGAGTCGGAAACGACTCATCGCTGACTCTCCACTAGGTTTTCAGAGGCAGTTAACCGGACTGGAGGGAATTGCCCATCCTCTGGCAGAGCAGCTGGTGGATTGAAATGGCATGCTTTCAAATTGGGTGCTTTTGGGATTGAAGCACAGCTTCTGACCGCTAGGTCACCAGAGTTCCCCTGAGCTTACTAGTGCAGACATTATCTAACAATACTATTAATATCATGCACAAGTAAAATCTTAATTGAAGGTTATTCAGAAAAAACTAGAGCAGTACATCAACAGAGAACTGCCAAAAGATGAAGCTAGATCCAGAACAGGCCACAGAGCAAGGGTTATCAGTGCTGCAATCAAATGGATCTTCCCAGAAAGCAGAAAATACCAAAAAGATGTTTACACGTGTTCTATTGACAATGCAAAGGCACTAACTGTGAACTGTAATAAATTATGGTTAACATTTTAAAGAATTGGGAATGCAAGAATCCTTGAATTGTGCCCATGCAGAACCTATACATGAACCATAAAGTAGTCATTTGAACAGAATAAGGGACGCGGCCTGGTTTCAAGTCAGGAAAATATGCTTAGGGCTATAACCTTAAACCATGCCACTGTGTCCTTACACTATCGCTATTCGGTCTATTTGCAGTGCAAATAATTAGAGAAGCTTGACCAAATGAAGAATGGGACATCAGAACTGGAGGCAAACTCATTAACAACCTGCAATGACATAACTCTGCTTGCTGAAAATGAAGAGGACTTGGAAAAGAAGCTATAAGAGAAGGAAAAGAAGCTAAAAACACTATAGGCGTCAGTGTGGATTACATCGCAACATAAAAGAGACGAGCAATCCCAAGCACAAGCTACTTCACTGCCGTCAAGTTGATTCCAATTTACAGGGATCCTCTGTCAGGTTCCAGACTCCAGCCCTTTGCCTTTCTATTGTAATACTTTGCTTTGTCTTCTCAGATCACCCTTTGACTCTCTTACCTCTCCATTTCTTCCCTTTGTTTTGGTCTTTCAACATTCTAGTGCAATTTTCAAGGTCTCTTAATGGCCTTTTGTTTTCTTCCTGGATGACATCCTCAATGTCATTCCACAGGCTCATCTGGTCTTTGATCATTAGTGAACACTGCCTCAAACCTATTCTGGAGATGATCTGTGTTCAGGTGGGATAGACTCAAGGTTGTATTTTGGTTACTGTAGCATTTCCATTTTCTTCAGCTTCAATTAGAACTGGTTCATGAGTAATTGATGGTTTGCTGCATAGTCAACACTTGGCCTGGCTGATGATAATCTTCTCCAAAGATTCTTTCTACCTGTGTAATCAATCCAAATCCTGTGTGGTCCATAGGTAAGGTCCATGTGTATAGTTGCTGTTTGTGGTTTGGGGTTTTTTTTTAAAGGTATTTTAAAAAGATCTTTGTGTGAATCACAACAAATTATGGCTAACATTGAAAAGAATGGGAATCTCAAACTTTAATTGTGCTCACGTGAAACCTATCCTAGAATGAGAAACAATTGTCCAAACTGAAAGGGGAAACACTGCATGGTTTAAAATTAGGAAAGGTGTGCATCAGGCCTGTATCCTTTCCCCATACCTATTCAATCTGTATGCTGAGCAAATGACTCAAAAAAACCTGGACCTTATGAAGAAGAATGTGGCAGGAAGACTCAACAACCTGCATTATGCAGTTGACACAACCTTGATGAAAATAAGGAGGACTAGAAGCATTTGCTGCAAAAGATCAAAGACTATAGCCTTCAACATGGATTACATCTCAAAATCAAGAAAACAAAACTCTTAACCATTGGATCAATAAGGCAACATCATGTTGTTGTTGTTGTTAGGTGTCATTGAGTTGAGTATGACTGATAGCAACCCTTTAAACAAAACTTTGTTTTGTCCTATGCCATCTTTATCACCTCTGACACATTTGAGTCATTGCCACAGACATTGTACCAATCCCACTCACTGAGAGTCTTCCTCTCCTTTGCTGACCTTCCACCTTTCCAAGAATGATATCCCTTTCCAAAGAATATTCTCTCCTACCAGTATGTCCAAAATACATGAGACAAAGCTTCATCATCCTTGCCTCCAAGGAGCACTCTGGCTACCAAGACGTATCTGTTTGTTCTTTTGGCAATCGATGGGACACTTAGCACTTTCCTTGAACACATAAACTCTTCTTCAGGCATCCTTATTCATTATTCAATTCTCAGATACATAGCAGGTGATTGTAATGACTATAGCTTGAAACAAGTGCACCTTAGCCTTTAAATTTACTTCATTGCTCTTCAGAACTTTGTAAAGATCCCTAACAGCAGACTTTCCCAATGCTCTATGTCTCTTCAGATGCATAGAAAGTGATGAGAAAGACCATGGCGTGAATAAGATGCACTGTAGCCCTCAAACTGACATCGTTACTCCTCAATAATTTGGAGAGGTCTCTAACTACAAATTTTCCCAGTTCAATCCATCTCCTACTTCCTGACTGCTAGTACCAAGGGTGTTAATTGTGGATCCAAGTAAGAGGAAGTTGTTGAAAATTTCAATCTCTGTCCATCATGATATTGCCTATCAGTCCAGTGGCAAGAATCTTTGTTTTCTTAACATTGAGATTCAATCCATACTGTAGGCTGCAATCCTTATTCTTCTGAAACAAGTGCTTCAAGTCCTCTCCACTTTCAGCAAACAAGGTTATGTCATCTGCATAATGCAGGTTATTGATGAGTTTCCCTCCAATCTTGATGTATGTTCCTCTTCATAAAGTCCAGCTTCTCAAAGAATTTGCTCAGCATACAGATTAAATAGGTGTGGAGAGAGACTACAACCCTGATGCACTTTCTTATTAATTTTAAATGCAGTGAGTATTTCCCTGCTCTACACAGCAGCCTTGTGGTCCAGGGATAGGTTCTGCATGAGCATAATCAAGTGTTCTGGGATTCCCATTCTTCTCTATGTCAGCCATAATTTGTTATGATTCACACAGTCAAATGCCTTTGCATAGTCAATAAAACACAAATAGACATTCTTCTGGTATGCTTTACTTTCAGACAGGATCCATCTGACATCAGTAATGATATCCTTTGGGCCACAGCCTCTTTTGAATCCTGCTTGAGCTTCTGGCGGTTCTCTATGTCGTGTTCTAGCCATTTTTAAATGATCTTCAGCAGGATTTTGAATAAGGATGACAGAAGAAGAATTTATACCTTTGAGCTGTGGTATTGGAGAAGAGCACTGAACATCCCATGGACAGTCAAAAGAGCAAATGGATATGTCTTGGAGAGGGTGCAGCTGAAGTGTTCTTTGGAGGTAAGAATAATAAGGCTTCACCTCACATACTTTGGACATGTTGCTAGGAGCGGCTATTGCTTGGAGAGGGACATGATGCTTGAAAGGGTAGAGAGTTGGCAAAGGAAAGGAAGACCTTCAACTAGGTGGATTGACATGGTGACTGCCACAGTGGACCCTAGTGTGTCAGGAAGTGTGAAAATGGCACAGGATAAGAAAGGGTGAAGATTGGTTGTTCATAGAATCTCTATGAGTTGTACTCGACTCAATAACGCCTAACAACAACAATATATGTCTCCTGATTTCCTGACTGGTTTC